TATTCCTTAACCATGCCTCCTATTACAGCCTATAGTGTTGGTGTATATACAAATGACTACATCAATGACAGTAAAAGCCATTCAAACAATTAAAGAAAAATTAAAAAAGAGAAACTACCTAAATTTTGGACCAATATCTAAAAAATACCTATGAATCTTTTTTTTCATTCGTGCTTGAAACCGGTTGACAATTTTTAAAAGCTATTATATGTATATATAAGATGATAAAAAATTATAATTTATAATGCCACTTTTAATATTATGAAAGAATTGAATGATTATTTTATTAGTATTATATTTAAATATTTTTTTAATATAAGTGATTAAAATATTATTTATTTGCCGATTTCTAATTGTCTTTCATAGTCTATTTTTTACAATAGTTATAATAGAAAAAGCTTTTTTAATTTAAATTACAATTTTCTTAAATTAAAATCTATTTTTTTTTTAATTTCTCATAATAAAAATCTGATTATAATATATTGACGTAATTTACTTTAATATAAAGGTCTGAATTAAATAGAGATGAATAAAAAAATAAAGATGATTATTTTATGCTTCTACTTTAATTAAAAAGAAACAATAATTAAAAAAAATCAACTAAATTAGATTAGAGCTGGTTCGAGTAACTGTCAGAAGAATATAAATAAATGGCTTGAAATATTTTAAAGAGTACCCACCGATGCTTAGCTTGGTTTGTGGGTAAGTACGGTTGGGAACCCCCCACCCGGGCCCCCCACCCGGGCTCGATTACTCTCGAATGCAGTTCATCTTAAGAGGGACCCAATCAAATGCAAGCGAGGGATTTTCTAGGATGGGTGCCTCTTCTAGGTCGGCCGAAGATTAGTCACATCGCTAAGTGCCCTTTCGAAGATGATAGTGGGTGGATGTGAGTATACGGTTCACTCTTACATATCCGGTTCCCACTTGTATTTACTGTTTTACTCTTTTTAGTCTATATATACACTTGTATCTAAGCTGTTTATGCCAAGGATTACTTTTTCTCTATCTCTTGGTCTCTGTTTCATTTTCTTCCTTGCAGCCTCTCTTGGCAAACTCTCACATGGTATCAAGAGTCGGAAATGGGAGATCAAGAATCTGCTTCTTTCCTCCCTATAACCTCCTCCATGCTTGCTGGAACGTCTGCCGACATCATCATACTGGTATCACTCAAATTTATCATCTCAAACATCAAGAATCTCATTCCTCATTCCCTCACCACTAAGAATTATGCTATTTGGCGAATCCAAATCTTTCAACACCTCTCTCCTAATGGCTATGCGGATCACCTCACCGGCAAAACAATTTCGCTGGCCGATACCACCTTTCAAGAACAAGCTCGGTGGCGCCTAAACGATAACAACCTCATTTCAGCTCTCTTTGCAACCATATTACCTGAAATCCTTCTCTACATCATCGCGTCCACGACTACTCAAGAAGTCTGGACAGTACTTGAACGCCGGCTATAATCTTTGAGTCGTTCTCATGTTATACAACTCAAGAACGAACTACACCACATTCAAATGAACAACATAACTATGCAACAATATCTTTCTCAAATCAAGAATATCGGGGACAACATCGCCGCTTCAGGAATGAAGATTGATCCGGAAGACATTGTTCTGTAAATTCTAAACGGCCTACCATCAACCTACAACTCCTTCAAGACCGCCATCTGCACCTCCTCCCTACCCGCCGATCTCAACACGCTCTACTTGCTACTTTGCAGCGAGGAGATTCACGTCAATCAAGATCTTCACAAAGATCAATCTGCAATTTCGTTCGCTTCCGCTCTCTACACCACTTCGCACAATCAGTCACGAAACCACAGTAAAAAACGCTTTCCAAATATTAAGATTGGCACGTCCAGGCCATACGAAACATGAGACTCAATCTTCCCCACCTCGACCGCAAATAACACTCGCCCTACCTGCCAAATATGCGGCAGGATTGGCCACATTGCCATCAATTGTTGGCATAGATGCAGTTTCAAATATGCACCAACCATTCCCAATGGCCCTTGTGCCATGCTAGCTCAACCGACACCGACCGTCCCACAAGCATGGATCCTTAATTCCGGAGCTTCCACACACTTGACGTTAGACAGCTCGAACATACAGCAACCGTCCGCCTATCACGGACAAGTTTAAATTGTTTTGTAGTCTTGTTCAAACTCAATTCTATGCCAGCCTAAAACTTTCCGATCCGACGGCGGTGGAGAATTCACTAACTCCGCCTTCGAATATTTTCTCGAGCATCACAGTATTATACACCTATTAAGCTGTCCTCACACACTAGAATAGTACAGCCTTGTTGAACGTAAGCACAGGCTTCTTCTAGACCTTACTCATACGCTCTTGCATGCTTCTCAACTTCCCGATCACTTATGGGCCGACGCTCTTTCGACAGCAAACAACCTAATAGATCAGGTTCCCTCCACATCTCTGGCACTCAAATCTCCTCACCAAACTCTCCACAACAAACTCCCTACCTATTCACACCTTTCGCACATTCGGCTGCCTCTGCTACCCTTAGCTTCAACCTTATACCACCAACAAATTCTCCCCCCGCTCTCAATAATGCGTTTTCATTGGCTACTCACTACATCGCAAGGGATACAAATGCTATAACTTGGCCACTCACAGAACTCACATATCTAGGCATGTAGTGTTTCATGAAAGTACCTTTCCCTACACCTCTCAAATTTCATCAAACACAGCCAACTCTTAACTCACTCAGCACATTCAATCTCCCCTTCTACTGGTTCCAACTTCCACCGTCTCTCACTCCCCCTCCTCCACACAACTCCTCAACAACATCTTCCACTAAACCCACACACACTCATCAAACCGCAACTTCTCATCCTCCCACTCCAGTTCACAACCCATCCATACCACCCATCACGGACTCGTCTCTCCCTCACCATCCTATTCATTCAATGCAAACCCGCTCAAAATATGTAATTCCCAAACCAAAACACATCTTCACCCTTCTCAGCAGCACCAATCCTCCTCCCACACCTACAACTTACCATCAAGCATCCAAACTTGACACTGGCGAGCAGCTATGGCAGAAGAAATCAATGCACTTCAGAAGCAAAGGACTTGGTCTCTCGTTCGAATCCCGACGAACAAGTGAATATTCAGTTGCAAATATGGACATACAAAACTAAATTGCTACCCACATGAAAAATAGATCGACACAAAGCTCGTCTCGTCGCATTAGGATACGACCAAACTTTCGGCGAGAACTACACCGAAACCTCCAATATGGTTGCAAAGATGCCTACCATTCGCAAACTCACTCTTGCTACCAACCGCAAATGGCCAATGCTCCAGTTAGAGTTTCCAACGTCTTCCTCCACGGCGATCTTCTTGATGATATTTACATGCGTCAACTATCCGGCTTTAAGGATCCCCACCAACCTAACTATGTCTGCAATTACATAAATCTCTATACAGTCTTAAGCAGGTGGCCCCGTCAATGGTTCCAGAAATTCACAAGTTTCTTACAATCACTCGGCTTCGAATTCAATCTTTCCAACCACTCTCTCCTTATTATTTCAAAGCATCACATTTATATCTATCTACTAATTTATGTAGATGACATCCTTGTCACAGGTAACGACTCTTGTAGCATTCAGACACATCTCAAAGACCTACACTCACAATTCGCTCTCAAACAGCTTGGACATATCTCTCTTTCTCGGCATAAAAGTTCTCCAAACTACAAAAAGCAACTTTTTCACTGAAGAACACTATGCACCAAACTCATTCAAGAAGCCGGATTTGAAAACTGCAAGGCATCTCCCACTCCAGATTGCTCCAACATCAACACACCATACGAGCAACATCATGCCCTTTCATGATCCGTCCCTTTACCGTCGTCTCGTCGGCTCGCTCCAATATCTTTCCATCACAAGACCTAACATAGCTTTTGCAATAAACTGGGCTTGCCAACATATGCAACAACCCACAGTTCAAGACTTCCAAGGCCTCAAACGCATCTTAAGCTACATCAAAGGCACATTGACCTTTGACCTTCCTATCATACCCGGATACTTTCTTCGAACATACACGGACGTCGACTGGGCTTCAATTAATTCTGATTGGAAATCAATCTCCGATTTCTGCACCTTCATGGGTCCAAACCTCTTTTCTTGGTCCGTCAAGAAACAAGTCACCGTAGCCAAATCTTTCACAGAAGTCGAGTATAGGGCCTTATCAGCATCAACATCGGAAGTCCTCTGGCTCCGTCGACTATCTGTCGAACTTCAACTTGAACGAAGCTCCCCTACGACTATTCACTGTGACAATATCTCAACTATTGTCATAGCCAAGAACCCCGTCTTTCATGCCCGGACAAAGCACATTGAGATTGATTACCATCTTATTCGTCAACACATATCCTCCGGCGACATTAATATTCATCATATTCCTTCTCAAGATCAAATAGTTGATATCTTAACCAAACCGTTCTCATGCACTCGTTTTACCCACTTTCGCTCCAAATTAATCATTCAAACCCGAATGATTAATTTGAGGGAGGCTGTGAGCATATGGTTCACTCTTACATATCGGGTTCCCACTTGTATTTACTGTTTTACTCTCTTTAGTCTATATATATACATTTGTATCTAAGCTGTTTACGGCAAGGATTACTTTTCTCTATCTCTCGGTCTCTGTTTCCTTCTCTGTTTCATTTTCTTCCTTCCAGCCTCTCTTGGCAAACTCTTACAGTGGATACCCGTTCAAAAAAAAAAATCTTAAAGAGTCATGTGGTAATTACTTTATATGTATGATGTATTAGTAAATTCAACTACCAAGAAAAGATATCAATTTAATATGAACGCAAAAGCCCATCATGCTTAGGGAAGGCTGACTCGGTAGAGTTGATTCAGAACGCTGACAGTGATAGAACATCCAATGGGCTTGCTTGTTTGTTTCTCGACGGCAACCATTCCTTGAACGCTTCAATAACATCCACTTCAATCTATTAAACTTTTATTTCTTGATCTAAAAGCTCAACAACTTCGGTAGATAAATCTCTTTCTTGTGAAATCGTCGCAGAATCCTTCAACAAAATTTAAGAAAAAATGACGCAGGTATGGCCACTGGCATTCGGCTTTGCTGTGATCGTCTTCTCCGGCGTCGGGGCGTCGGCCTACACGAGGCCACCGCCAGGCAGAATTCTCACTGTGAAAAGTTCCGAGTCCGATTCCCAACCTCAGCAGGTACATACAGTACCGTTCTCTCTCTTTCTCCTCTCTCTGAATATTTTTTGTATTTTCTTAAGAAAATGACAACAAACCAAAATATTTTTATATTTTTCAAAAAGGTCTTTTTTTTGTTAATATAATTTTATATTTTATATAATCATCACAATCGAGTGAACATCTAAAATATTTTTTTATTTTATTTTCTCATTTAATTTTTCTCAGCGATTTAATCAGATTGCCAATCCATTCCCAACAACTCAGGAAAAAAATAAGAGTTCGAATATGATCTAATAGTCAATAAAACACTTATTTTATAAAAAAAAATTCTGTTTTTGCAATGATGAACATATAGGTGCGTATTTCCATAGCGAATTCGGATCAAATGAGGATTTCATGGATCACGAAAGACAAGAACCTTCCCTCGCTTGTTGAATACGGGAAAACACCAGGTGTTTATGATAGTTCAGCCTCCGGCGAGAGCACCTCGTATCGCTTCTTCTTCTACACCTCCGGCAATATCCACCACGTCGAGATCGGCCCATTGGATGCCAACACCACCTACTATTATCGCTGTGGCGGCGTTGGCGGGGAGTTCACCTTCAAAACCCCGCCTTCAACTCTTCCTATCGAGTTCGTGCTCATAGGTTCTTCAATAATAACTCGTATTCATAGTAAAATCATTAAAAAAAAAGTTATAGAAATCTTTGAAACAGTTAAATTTGTGTGCAAACAGGGGACTTGGGCCAAACCGAGTGGACAGCCTCCACCCTCTCGCACATAAACTATTCAGACTACGACATTCTCCTCCTCGCCGGCGACCTCTCCTACGCCGACTCCCAACAACCACTCTGGGACTCCTTCGCCCTCCTCGTACAACCGCAAGCCTCCCGCCGGCCATGGATGGTCACCCAAGGCAACCACGAGATCGAATCCCTTTTCCCCATCTTCCGCATCCACCCCTTCGCCGCCTACAACGCCCGTTGGCGCATGCCATTTGAACAGAGCTCCTCCACCTCCAACCTCTTTTACTCCTTCGATGCAGCCGGCGGTGAAGCTCACGTGCTCATGCTCGGCTCCTATGCTGAATATGGCGTTAAGTCCCAACAATACAAGTGGTTGAAGGCAGATCTAGCAATGCTTGACAGGAGGAAGACGCCCTGGCTTTTGGCGATTGTTCATGCGCCGTGGTATAACACGAACGACGCGCACCAGAGGGAGGGAGAGGGAATGAGGAAGAATGTCGAGAAGCTCCTCTTTGATGCGAAGGTCGACATTGTCTTCGGCGGCCATGTTCACGCCTACGAGCGATTTGTAAGCCTTGTTTAATTCTAGCAACTACTTCTTGTGTAATCAAGATTTTAACGGTACCAATTTTTAAATTTAGGGGATTTACATAAACAATTAACACTAGCAACTATCTATTGCTTTCTGCTTTATGATTGTAACAGACGAGAATATACGACAACGCGGCAAATCCTTGCGGTCCTATATACATAACCATTGGGGATGGAGGAAACAGAGAAGGCCTTGCCTACAAGTAAGCAAAAACACTAAATTAAAAAAAAAAAAAATCACATTGATCGGACAATAACAAAAATAATGAAAATATCAATTTTTTATCCCACTACATAGAATCTGATACATAAATATTTTTTATCCATTGTGACATACTAAAAGTCAAATTCTCTAATGAAAAAATGTCATATTTAATATTTCCTAATCAAGTTTTTTTAGGTCTACCACTGTCTTTCTTAATGTGTCTGAACTAATACACACATTCTCCTAATTGGGTCAACAAAAGGAAGATGTTATGTGATCAAATTATTTAAGACAACACTTTCTAATTTTATCTATCACTGGAGCTACTCGAATCTTTTCACGGAACGTTTCATATTATATCTCTAAGTGTAATGCCACTCATCCACCTGAACATCTTCATCCTTTAACTTAACTTTATGCTTCTCTTTTAATGACCAACATTCTACCTTATAACACATTGCAAGTAACAAAACCATCTTCACACACCCAATATCTCTCACATTAATTGATCCAAATTATAAAAACTATTGCTGTCACTATCATTTTAACTTATCTCTATTGTGTGATACTTTGAAGCTTTAACGAAAAACACAGCTCTGCCAATCTCTCCGTATTTAGAGAAGCAAGCTTCGGCCATGGAAGACTTAAAGTATTGGATAAGAAGCGAGCTCATTGGACTTGGCATCGTAACAATAATTCTAATCCGGATGTGGGAGATGAGCTATGGATAGAGAGTTTGAGCTCCTCAGCTTCGTGCATGACTGTACAGAGTTATGCAACTCATTACAATGATGATGAGCTATAGAGTTGTTATAAGTTTTGTGGTTTTTGTTTTTGTTTAACTTTTTTAGTTATTTGTTGGGATAATCCCTTTAATAAGATATTTCAGAGGTTCTGTACTTCATTTTAGCTATGTTTGAGTATATTATTGTGAATAATACCAATAGAAAAACATATTTATATATTCATATTTGCTAAAAAAATTCAACTATATCTTAATTATAGAAACCAAACTCCCAAGTTGAAATCTTAAAGAAAAATATATTTAGACACTATAATTCATTTTTTTATAATATTTAAACACTATAATTCCTTAAAACAAAAGTGAGCGCATTAGAACTTAAGTTTTTCATTTAAAAAGTTGGTCCAAGACAATAATTCGAGAACAATCCAAATGGTTTTCTTTTTTATGAAGGATGCTTTGTACTTCATTAAAAGTGAGGTTAGGAGATATGAATTGCAAGAGCATGCCCATCCGTCGTCGTCTCGATCTTGTTCCCGCCCAATCGAGCTGCTTGTCGAGCCGACGAGTCGAGACTGAGGCCTGTTTGAGCTCGAGCTCGATAAGCCTTCGAGCACGAAACTGTGTTCAAGCTCGACTAGCGAGCTCGATAAGCTCGACTTGCCGAGCCTGTTACCGAGTCGAGTCGAACCGGCTCGCGAGTCAGCTTGACTCGGTTGCACCCCTAACCCATACAAATATGTAAGGGTCAACAATGTTGATCTTTCCCTTATATTATAGGAGACTATGAACGACAACATTGAGGCCATTTTCTATGCAAGGAGTGATCATGCTCCTCAAAGTGATAATAATAATGAGGTCGTGTATTTTCCTCAAAGACAATAAGAGGAATAGAAATAAAAAGCATATCCTATTTTTGCCCATAAAAATGAGAAAATTGCATAAACATATTTAGTCAAAGACTAAAATTTTGAGTGCCAAAACTATTCTAGCAAAGCTTAGAAAAACCGTCAGTTGATTATTTAATAACACGTTTTAAGCATCATTATATTGAATGCATACTCGTGCATAAAATCTTTGATTCTTTACAATTGTTTTAGTGTCGAACATATTTTAGCTGTGCTTTGAAAAAATATTGTTGATCATATAGTGACATTTTAAGCATCAAGATTTTATATAAGTGCTAATTAATGCATAATAGCATCCTTGATCCTTTGGTATATTGATGATTTAAATCATCAATGATAAGGAACTTTAGACATTATGATCTTCTAACTTTCTGGAAAGCATTGACATTCAAAGTTCTATTGTTTACAATATTTTCTCACTATTTGTGCTCAACATCAACTATTTTCACAAGCAATACCACATCTTATCAAATAGTCTTAACAAATATAAAAAAAAATATCTTAATATAATAACATAAAATATCTCAATATTTTAAGGGGGATTTACATACATAGTACCTAAAATATTAGTATTTACATATTAAGCCTATAAACTTCAATATATATATATATAATCCCATTACCATTCCTATCACTTCATCACTCAATATCGATTCTATTGCCTTCAACACTATTGTTTTTGTCATCCTTTAGGCATCGATAACTGCCTTCATATTATCCTCATTCACACACAAGTTGTACTTATCACCCCAAAAGCAAGGAAATCACATGAGATCTCCTAGGTGATGATATAGATTGGACTAATGATTGATGGTGAAATCTAGTGAGTTGCAATAATTAATAATTGCAAGATGGTTGGGGCCTAGTGATGGCAAGAGTAGATAAGTTACAAACAATGATTGTGAAATTATAAACAAGAGAATCACTGGGAGTAGGTGACGCCGGAGCTGAGCCATTAGTTGTGTTAACTTCAGGATAATTACAAGAGAATCACTGGGAGTAGGCATTGATAAGTGTTCGACAAGACATCACAGATGAGGGCATCAACAGGAGAGTGCATCGTGACAAGCAATGATGACATATAACGAGTTTGTTCATGAAGTTAATGAACTGCTACTTGATATAAAGAATAAAATTTTAATGTTAACCATATAATGCTTTAGGTGTTATGTATGTAAATAATCTTATTTTTTAATAACAACAATATATGACATCACAATAATCTAACGTAATATACGACAGCGCGTATATGAGGCCCACCAGCTACCACTACTACAAGAAAATCCGTTATTACTGGCAGATTTTTCCGGCGGCTTTCCAACATATTTCCAGAGGAATATGTTTGACTAATTTTTCTACATATTTTTTGGGCGGCTATCCAGCGGCTTTTCCGTCATATTTTTTTCTTATATTTTTAAATAAAAAAAATGTGATAGTTACACACTTTTGCCTTTCGAGAAAACTGGTTGGGTCATTGAAAGCATACTCACTTTGAATCTCAGCGCATGCGGGTAGCGCGGTCGACTAGGTAGCATGGGATAGTGAGTGGCGCATGAGGTGGGTGGGCAGTTGGAAGCCTGGCGAGCAGGGAAGCCAAGCTGGCAGGCAAGGCAGCATGCAACGTTAGAGGCGAGCGAGCAGCTCGGGAGGGCAGCGAGCAGGTAGCGGGCGGCATGGTTTTTTTAATTTCCAGCAGCATTAGTTGCCGATTGTCGTTTCCTACGCGTCTTTTTACCGATAAAAAAATATCCGCCGGAAAGCCACCTAAAATCTTAATTTCCACAAAAAAAATCACAAATTTTTGATAGAAAAAACTTCCAGTAGTAAGCGATTTTCTTGTAGTGCACAAACGTTGAGTGTCGGATTTTTTATTTAGCGACCAGAGCAAGGGCATGACGGGGCCTCGACAGAGCAGGTGTTGGTGACACATAGGGAGGAGAGGGAGTTTGCTTTGTGAGTCTTGCGGCTAGGGCAAGAGGTTGGAACCTTCGTGTGCAGGCGGCTTGTTTGCGGGTTTGGTCAGGTCTAAGTATAGGAGGCTGCTATCGGGAAGGGGTCAAATGAGGGGAGGTCCGAAGCTCGTGAGAAAGTAGTCGTCTGCAGTCGTGTGAGGTAGAGGAAGAAGAATGAGGTTGAGTTCCGTCTGCTTTTAATGACAAGAGTGGGAGCAGGCCAACGGGGTTGAGATGATCTACTGCCTACGCAGGGATGAAAGAACCTTTGCCGTTTGCAGAACCAATACTTTTTTTGTTTATTTTGTGCAACATTATCTTGCTTATCTGCAGTGTTGTCTGGTGACCAGCCGTCATCATATATGTTTTAAGTCTCTTTACACGTTTGTTAATCAATGAAAAAAAGGATTGTCAGCTTATAGGGGCATGTCTACAGTGGGTTGCTGGGGGCACAGATCCACATTGCTCCATTATTAAAAATCAACATATTTTAATTTATATTAATATAATTATTAATATATAAGATTAAATTTGATTTTAAAACTAATCAATTTTGATTCGCCTCTGCCGCTTTATGCACCTCAAGTCAAAAAACAATTTTTGGGTTGACTTGTCATTAGTTTTTTTTTCCTCAAAAAATAAATCATAAGATAAAATTATTATCAAATCTCAAGCCATACACAATAGTCAAACATTATTCTTAGTCACATACAAGGAGAATTGAAAGGAAAAATTCTAACATTTTTACATGGAACAAACCAACCAAAGAAGCACAAGTAATATACTGCCAAACATCAATAATAATGTCACTTAATTTAAAATATATATGACTTTTAACATTCTTCATGCACACAACCTAACATGCTAATAGATAAATAACCAACATGAATATTTATATTTTATGTAAAATAGGAAAGATATTACTCTACTATCATAAATTATATATAAATGTATGTCATATTTGATTATCATATTTGTATATATTTAAGTTTGTTCAATCTCAAGTGGAATTACCTTGGCTAAAGACATCTGCATGTCCCGATTCACCACCAACTATTAGTACACCGGATAAGTATGTTGCCGCCATAGCCACGGATCCACACATGTTGCTTGAAATAAATGTCCACACTTTAGCAGAAGCCCCAATGCCTTTTCCGCCCTCTCGTCCTCCTCATAGTCAACAAGACAAATATAGCAGCAAATTGCGTTGACCGCTCGCGGATCCTGACTCTTGGCTTCAGCGTAGGTGAGCGTAGGCCAGGTACTAAGCGTAGCATTATCGGTCTCAGTATCGACATTGCGTTCGGGATGAAGGGGAGGGGCAACAAAAGAGTAATTCCACATTAAGTAGGTGATTTAGGTGATGGTAGTGATAAGAACAATGATAAAAGTGAAAATGACGATGGCGTAGATCATTGTGGAGTGGGCAGTAATACGTACAGGAACTTAACCTGGGGAAAATAACAACATATTCACTTATTATTTATAGAAACAGGTAATCTGCTAGTTAATTTTGCAAATTTAATCATGTAAGCTAAACAATTTCAAATCGTTGAAATGAGAAATGAAAAAATAAAAAGAACAAAAAATGCAAGCATAACTTCAACATCTTAGCACAAAAAACCAAAAATCCATGGCTTTAATCCCATTAGCAAGAATACTTAGAAGAGCTCAAAACAATGCAAGCAAGTTTTCCTATTCATTTTTGCCATCGAAACTTTCAGGAAAGGGAAAGGAAGAAGAAGAAATAGTAGAAGAAGTGGTAGCAAAAGAGGGAGGAATGATGTGGGGAGAATCACCAAAGAAGCATGATGGAGAAGAGCTCAACAGCTCCAAGAGACCAAAACAGCCAAGCTATTCTAAAATCCAAAAATATTCATTCATATCCCTTTCCTCTCACAACTCCTATATTTATAAGCTAGCAAAGAAACCTAGAGAAATCAAGAATATTCTAGAATCCTATAACAAACTTGTAACAAAACAACTAACATATGCTTAAGGAACAATTTAGCTAAGATGCTCTACATCATTCTCCTCCGGTATGAAGAAAGCCAAGCTAGGGCGGAGTCAGGATGGAACACACGGATGCGGGCGAGAGCTGGAGATGGGTCGTGGCAAAAATTGTGTATACTTAAACTTGGTGTTGAAACTCCTGAGCTTGCAAAGTTCAGGGATCTGGACCGTGATGCTACCATACTTGTAAGATCCTTGAGGATTAGTCTTTGCAACATTTGCAATAAGATTCCATCTGAAGGTTCTGGCCTCACTGTTGAGCAAGTCTTCAACAGTTCAACAGTTGTCAGTGGCCTCGATTGCAGCTCATAAAGCTTTGGTTTTGGCTATTTGATATTATAGATTTTCTCAAGCAAATGTCGAGGGACATTGTTAGCCACAACCTGCACACCTTCTCTGTGCATCTAGAGCTGGAAAAAGAAGGAAAAACTAAACCAGGGAAATCAAAGTTCTTCTAAAATGATCAAAGTCTGAAAGTGCTTTGTCTTTTTAGGAGTAGAAGTAACTCCAGTGTGTTTTCCACCCACCACTGCATTGATTGTGGAGCTCTTATCAACAACCGGGCTCTGATCATTTTGCTGAGTGAAATAGGCAGAATCTGAATTTTCCATTTTAAAGTTGCCTCCAATTTCTTCCTCTCTCCCTAACTCAACATCCTCTCCATCATTCTTAACAGCGAATATCTCATCATCAGTCATGGCACCAGGAACCCGTCGTGACCTTATACTAGCAACTACATGATGCATGTTGTAGACCTTAGCTTTCCATGGCCCAACCATCTCCAACCTTTGCTGCTTTCTCCAATTCATCAGTGGAACTAGAACCGTACGGGTAACATCAAGCCCTGGTCGAAGAACATTGGTTCTAAACAGAGCTGCAACCTCCTGTTGCAATTCAGCATCAAAAACCAAGTCCCCTGCTCCATCCAAAGCATCGAGAACCTCCTTATCCTTATGCGAGATTACGTACAACCTAGCAGGCTTTACCTTTCCATCAACCGAACCTGGTCCCAAAAACAAAACGCTCTGCTCGGCTCGCTTAATCTTCAAACCATCGAAGCCGGAAAGCGTCATATCTGCTCTCAGATTCGATCCCGGCTTCCATATCTTGTAGGTATCAGATGGAGCAATTTTTGATATGAAAGGGATCACGGAGCTCTCGAAATGGAAAATGATCTCCATATAGAAATCTCTCATCCGATTCATGGCAGCCACAATACGTGGCATTCGGCGACACCACTTGACCCAGGCTAAGGCCTGGTAATACTAAACAATGATCTTTGCGATTTGTTCCTCTCGAGCACAAATGGCTTCTTGAAGAGGGCTCCATCCCTGCATGTTTTGGAGGCTTGAATCCGCTCCGGCGGCCATGAGCATCTCAACGGCGGTGGCATCGCCGAGTTTGATGGCAAGGTGGAGAGGGGTTTCACGCTCGTAGACATCGCGACGATCAATGACAGATGTGAGAACTCATTCCTTTGATTTGCCTTCCAAGATCTGATTTTCCTCCCAGGATCGTCCGGGACGATATTGAGATCGTCCAAGACGATCAGTGCAGTGAAACAGCTGATTTTTCTGTAGTAAGATCGTCCGGGCCGATGTTTGAATCGTCATGGGATGATCAGATAAGACAAAAATCCCGAGAGCAAAACATTAATTATCGTCCTGTATCGTCCTGAGATATCGTCCTGGACGATTGGATTTTGTTCACATCATCCTGGACGATGTGGCGATCGGCCGGGCCGATCAGACTTGTTTTATAAGGAAATCAGCTCGATTTGATGAGAGAGAAAATATTTTTATAAAACAAAATATCTGAGGAGAGAGAAAGTGAAGAAAAGCGAAGGAAAAAGCCGGATTTTGGAGGCCGCAGAGTGCTTTTCATCCGACGCCGTTGTTGGAACGATTGTTTATCTCGCGGTAAGGACTCCGAATCCTATTTCTGTTTTCGAAGATGTTGAGTTTTGGTCGTTTTGTGCACAGAATTGTGTTTTCATTACCGATAAACGCGCTGCATTTTGTATTGACGAAACTTTCACCGCACAACTTTTGATATATTATTGATATGATTTTTCTGCACGTTTTGAGTATTTTCTGTAACGATTCTACAGGTTATTTTGGGTTCTGTGCGATTTTGATCGAATAGATAAATATCAGGTTGTTGATTGATGTTGCTTCAGTAAAATAGAAGTCTTATAATGTTGTTGTGCACATTCTGTATTAATTTGATAAATTTCTGATTTGGTGATTTTTGTGTAAATTCTGTATACTGCCGTTATGCCGCTGGATTTTCGTATGATTACCGATTTTTTCTGAAATTGATAATTTGAATTGATATGCATATGAATGTGAATATGATTTGATATACTGTTCTAATACTGAATACTGAAAGACAAGTGGAGCCTGGTTGAACCGTTGGTTGGAGATTGACTTGACCTGTACAGGATGGTGGGCCGACGGGCTTTCCTTTAAACTATTGATCATTGATATAACGATTAGGAGTCATAAAAAGTTTAATATGCCGATGGGCAGCCGACGGGCACAGAGTGACGACTCTTATTGAACCAACGTATGGATATCTACAACTACAACAACACTATGGATTTCTACAACAGCACTATGGATTATCGAATAGCCAATGACTGTACTTGTTCAGTAAGACTATTGTATTGAAATGCATGTGTACGGTATTGACTCGTGATGGATTTATTGCTTTATTGATTTGGATTTACTAACGGATTTATGGACTTACTGTTATCGTACGATTTCATTGATATTTAGATTCTGTCACTGTGCGTTGCTACTGTTATAGATACTGTATGTATATGGATACTGTAATTGATTCATTAATACTATTTATTCTACACTGTATTGAACTGCTGCATTTGATTCATTGGTGGTATAGAGTGGGCTTTATTGTATTGATTTCGATCGATTCGATTGACCTGATAGTATTGTTTTGATTGATTCGATTTAATACGATTGATTTGACTGATCGACTGATTTTCTACTGTTTATTGATTCTTTTACCGCTGCATTGACTACTGATTTGATTTCCGTATTTTCATAGGTTTATTGATCATGTGCAATAGACTGCTATGGATTTGATTGACTGACATGCATATTGTTTCCAGTACCGTGCTTTGATTTCAGTTATAGATATTAGGTGACTTGCTGGGCTTTTTGAAGTTTATTATATGTGGTTAATATTTTCAGGTCATGGCAAGGGAGCAGGAGATTGAGGTCGATCAGGAAGCTCCAGGTTTTTGTTCTTTTGGTTATAGCGTTTCTTTTGTACTCAGGACAGGATAGATTTCACTTCTTGTGGTCATAGTGTAGTTCCTGAGTATTGTATATGATCTTTTGAGATATAAATCGACTTGTACATTGATGTTTTAAATGTTATTGATTTTTGCTAGACTGTTTGATTGAGGTTATAGATAGCTCTGGTAAATTGTTAATGGATTGCTCGAAATTCTTTCCAAGTTAGATCTTGGGGCGTTACAACAGATGAGATGGTGTTGGCCTTGTCTTCCTCGGCGATGGATTCGGCCTCGGTTAGGCTTTGAGAAGGCAGGGAAATGCGGGGAATAGCGGCAAGGATTTGCTTTAGGGCAGCATGGTCGCGAGTGAGCACGGCTTTGTGCACGGGTGATGTGGATTCTAAGAGCATCGCTATGCATTAGATAGTCTACAGATTGGAGAGGCGGCTAATCGAAGCAGAAATAGAGTCAGAGATCTAGGTATCAACGTAGTCAGAAAATGGAAATGGGGTCGGACAGGCGGAAGAGTAACACGAGAGTGTGGACCATGGTCGAACTCGTACGTGAGACGATAGGCGGATCCACGAGTTTGCGAGAAGCTGTCCGATGGGATGGATCTGGTCGTTGGGGATGGAAACAACGAGGATTGGGTTGCTAGACTGCGCGAGTGGATTTGAGGGGAAATCGCGTGCCAGAGCAGAAGCGAGCGCGAGCGGGAAGGATTACACGGGTATGGACGGGCGCGGGAATGGGAGGATGCCTGCTGTAGCGAGCGGCGTGAACGAGATCATGCCTGTAGGACTTTGGGACCATGGATATACAAGGACTTCTTGGTTGCGGAGTGCTCGGGAAGCGATTTCCCTCCGAAAAACCTCAAATCCATATTCAGAAGCTCAGATTTGATTGAATCTACCAGCAAGGATGAGGACACGTTCTTACTCTGGATCAAAGATATTACCTCGTCAGCGTTCCTGAAACACCATCCCTGGGAATTAGGGTTTGCAGCACGGCTTCGCTGGAGCCCGTAATCATCAAGATTGGAGGAGATCTTCCTCCAAGCTTTGACAGACTTGAGCTTTTTGTCAAGCTTTCGCTTCCTGAGTTGGAGCTTCTCCAGCATTAATATCTATTGCTTATAAACCGCCTGAAACTCTTTAAAGAATTCTTTAGTGAAGGGATCACCAGCATCTTTGAACTGCCTCAGATGTTCCAATGTCCTTTCATAATGAGGCTCCTCCTCGAATCGCTGAAAAGCAAATTGGATTAGGAGCTAGGAGTTGCGGGCACGATTGAGGCAGCGTTCGAGTGCCTTGCAGAAATCTAGGGTTTGGAGGCTGTTTTCGAAGTAATCCTCGACGAGTTGGAAGAGCTCAGGGGTTTTCCAAATATCCTTTTTGCAGTCGAGAATGATCTTGACAACTTCCTGGTTCATTTCGAGAAGGCAGCCGGTGACCTCTTTGAGGGAATCAAAGGAGAGAGAGTAGACCTTAGCATTCTTAAGAGGTTGTATTAGTAATAGATCTGATGATGGGACTGTAATATTAGGTGATTAAGTCATTAAAAAGAGTGCATGTTTAGGGTTTAGGGTTTAGGCTGAAGAACATTGCCGAATTATTGAATCAAGGGCTGCACTGAAAGAAAAACATCCCCTCCCTCCTCTAGTCTGACCACCTCCAACCTGTGTAGTCCCACCTGATAATCTTCCCCCACCTCTTGTAGGTCTCTAACTATGGTCTTAAGTGATATCATGGCTTTAGATAGCCCTGCATCTCCCATTATAACCATCTTTCTCTCATCCAACATTAATTCTATTGTGAGTGCTCCCCAATTATCCTTGGTTTCCCCCAAGGTTTGCAACCACTTTATCCCCAAGAAGACATCAGTACTTCCTAACTCTCGTGGAAGAAAGTCCTCCCTTACCTGAATCCACTGGATGGTCAACACCACTCCTCTACATATCCCCTGGCCTTTCTCCTAATTCTGCCGTTGAGAGATGGATAAGAGGGGTATTATAGCCATTTTATTTTATGTATTATTTGGCATTATCCATTTTAACATCGTCTCAGCGTTATCAAACGCTAATCCATCGGAATCAAATGAACGGTTGGATTAGAGGGAATTGTGCCGTGCAATTTGTCCGCTTTGAAGTAAAATCTAAGACAAATCGGCATTATAAGAAATTTAATAGTTTTTGTTGATTTCATACTAAAAAAATTTAAGAAATAAATATATTTTTATGTACTAATTTTGTATGAAGATCTTACATATATACAAAATAAAGAAATGAACATATATAATTAGTATTTTTAAGTGGAATACTTGAAAATAAAAATAATCATGAAATCTATCACACATTATAACACCCCGAGTTCAGAAAGCGATACACCCTCGTCCAAAAAATATCCGAGCCGTGGGCCCTTCTGATTTTAATCCTTGTACCTAAATGGATAAGGTAGACGCTGGCATGGAGATACAGCAACTGTAGCTATCAACTTCACCCCACAACGAATTTTTCTGAGACAGCAGGCTGGCATCACCCCTGGTGAACTTAATTAATGTTCACCGAACTTTATTTTCGAAAGGAAAAAGAAAAAAAGAAAGCAGGATATTTGTTTTAATTCCTGCGAAGAATTTGCAGAGAGCGGTGATTTATTCGATGGAGAGGAGAGGGCGGTCACTCGTATTCTAGATGACATAAATACGGATAAGTTGAGGATAAATTTTTTGCGAATTTTAATTTTTTTTATTTCCCATTTATATTTAACATGAAATAAAGATTATATTTAATATTTAAAATACAAATTGTTTTTCTTATATATGTAGATATATGAAATGTTGATTTAAAGGTTTGTTTTAAATGAAATGCATGGTCGCATCGATCGTATTTCAGACGCAATAGAAAGCAGAGAAGGGCACACCGGGCCAGAAACAGGGGAAGAAGAAGGAGCGAATTCACCACCGCTATTACTTATCTGACTTATTACTAGTTGAAAAAGGTACCGTAATCTTTTTCTCGACATCTTCTATTCGAGTTCTAATCTTTATAGACTTGATTGATTGCAATGCTCAGATCCAGCACAAGCGGTATGGGAGTTCTCAATCTTTTACATTTTGCTCTGTTCTTCCTTGTCTTGTCCATGGAGTTGGGAGTTCAAGCATACGGGGCTGCTGTTCTTTCCAGCAACGAAGGTAGGAAATCAAGTTTAATTTCTTCTGCTTTTCTAGCTCAAGGGTTTGTGTTGAGAAAACAGTTGCTCTGATTTGGGCAGCGCAAGTCCTTAAGAAGATCGCGCAGAAGATTGGAAACAATGGTTGGGATTTCAGCGAGGATCCGTGCAGCGGGGAAGGGAGTTGGTACATGGCGAATGCCACGATAGCGAACGAACAATGGCGGTCCGTCGGCCTGGGTCGATTCGGCTAGAGGCGAATGTCGAGCTCAGCGTTGGCAGTCGAGTGCATGTGGCTTTGGACCTAGGGCAGATCGGGGCTTCGGAAGAACAGGTGTTGGCGACGGATAAGGAGGAGAGGGAGTTGGCTTCGTGAATCTTGCGGCCACGGCAAGAGGTCGGAGCCTTCGTGTGCAGGCGGCTTGCTTGCGGGTTTGGCCGGGTCTGAGTATAGGAGGCTCGGTGGGATGAGGAAGAGCAAGGCGACGGGCAAGTGGCTATCGGGAAGGGGATGAGGGGTAGGCCGGAAGCTCGTGAGAAAGTAGTCGGCTGCAGTCGCGTGAGGTAGAGGAAGAAGAACGAGGTTGAGTTCCATCTGCTTTTAATAACAAGAGTGGGAGCGGGGTCGAGATGATCTACAGACACTGAAATGCTTTTTTGTTGTTTCTTTTGTCAACATTATCACGCTTATCTAAGCACTAGTGATCAGCCGCTATCACATCGTCTTTAAACCTCTCATAATTATTCAGAATAATATTACACGCTTGTTAATTAATGTGAATCATATTTATTTTGAATTGATTTGGAATATATGAATCATTTAAGTAATGAAGAACAAGCTTAAGCAAAACCAATCACAACAATATCAAGCCTCTATCTCATTGCATATGATCAATAAATTAAAAAATTCATGTCATAATTATTCAAATAATTTTATATAGATTGTCAACTATCTAACACAATCTTTTATTTTTCTCATCCAAATATAAAAAAAATAAATCTTATTTTTTTTTGACATACAAATGCATGGGTCCCATAGATTCCATAAATTCAAATTATAATTATAATATTATTCTCTGAACATTTATTGAAATTTTTGATCCGAAGTTGGTGGGCACTAAAGGGGTATATAGGCAAAAACAATTCAAGTTATGTCTCTTCATTACTTAAATGATTCATATATTCCAAATTAATTGAAAATAAATATGATTTCCAGTAACGAATTGGAAAACAATGACTTAGATTGGATATGATTCCTTTCAATCCATGCGGCAGCAAATTGTAAGAGAAGTATGACCCATCTAATATTAAAAAAATGTTCAAAATGTCTTTAATCTCGGACGTTGAAGATTATTTTAATCTTTAATCCATACGGAATTAAAGAAATTTTGAATTTTTTTAATAGTAGTTGAATCAATTATATTAAAAAACTATTTTAATATCTCAAAATTTTAAAAAGAAATTAAAAAAATCTCGTTATTAAACTTTTTTATTATTTATTTTAGTTGGCCAATCCGGAACGATCAACAAATGAGACGTTGAACAAACGGTTAAAAGCCAACCTGGCCAGTACGGAAGGCAGAAACTTAAATGATGTAACTTAAGATCTGTTGTATAAATAGAGACCTTTGGTCGTGAAATAAGACAAGAAATTCAATTTCCTTTCTATATGCATTTTCCCGCTTCTCTGCATTTCTTGTGCTCATAGGTTATCATGGTATCAGAGTACAGTTGTTTTTCTTCTTTTTCTTTCTCCGTCTCTGTTTTCTCAAATGGATCGATCCACCTCCTCACCGCCTTCAGTTGATAGCGTTTCTTCTATCAGTTCAGTCCAAATACCTTCACAACTCAAATTCTTGATCAGTAACATCAAGAATCTTGTGTCGTCATCTCTAACATCCGACAACTTTCATGTATGGCAATCTCAAGTGGAAAAATTTTTCACATCAAACGGATTCAAGGGATTTCTTGACGGCTCTTGTCCATGTCCGTCGTATAACAAAATACTACCACCACTAATACATAATCACCACACGATACATGGGTTCTTCTTGACCAGAACCTTGCAACAACATTATTGTCTGTTATTTCACCATAAATACTCCCATATGTTCTGTATTTTAACCCAATGTGCTGAAATTTGGGCTACTCTCATCCACCGCCTTCAAGCATCGACCAGGTCACGCATTATACAGTTGAAAAAATGAACTCCACTCCCTCTCAAAAGGTGATGAATCCATGAC